ATACAAAGTATTTCCAAACAGAGTGAGACTCATTTGATATGATATAGCTGCATTAACACTGTTATTATATTAAGACGGAGGGACACGTGGTACATCAACTGAATAAGCATTTTAAAACATATTAAGACTAGGTGAAGCAAGGTGAAACTAGGTGAAGAGTTTTTATGTCTAAACAAAGTGCGAATAGGTTCAGCACCAAAGTAATCATATCAGAACTGAGTTAGATAAGGTGTATCAACAGAACAAGAATCTCCGAACGGACCAGAGTTAGACTTGCTGCATCAACCAAGAGAGTTTCACAAAACAGAGTAGGTTACTTCAGTGCTAAACGGAGTGAAACTAGGGGTTTCATCGTGTGAATTTCTCCACAAGGAGTGAGAATAAGTTCATCAACAAAATGATTATCTCCAAACAGAGAGTAAGACTAGGTGTATTAACATAGTTATTGTCATCAAACGGATTAAGACAAGGCGCATGAGCAGTGTTAGTATCTTAAAACGGAGTGAGATTTGGTGCATTAACATAATGTGTATCACCAAAGGGACTAGCATTTGTGCATAAACAGAGTTAGTATTTTGTTCGAACGCTGTGAGGCTAAATGAAATAAAGGTGTTCATAAAATAAGTATATTCAACACAGTGAGACATGGTGCATCAACAAAGTAAATATCTCTACACGAAGTGAAACTTTGTGCATCAACAAAATATGTTTATCCAAAATGAGTGAGATTTGATGCATCAACCGAGTAAGTTTCTCCAAACGTTGTGACAATAAGCGCATTAGCTGAGTCAGAATCTCCAACATTGTGGGACTAGTTGCGTCAACAGCGTATATATCGTAAAAACAGAGTGAGACTAGATGCATGAACAAAGTAAGTATCTCAAATGGGTGTGAGTCAAAATGCATTAACAGAGTTATTTCATTTTATGATACATTGAATGAGACAAGGTGCACCAACAGATTCAGTATCTCAAACGAAGTGAGACCAGGTGCATTAACAAAAATGTCGATAGACAGTGAGACTAGGTACATCACTAGAGTAAGTAACTCCAAACAGAGTGAGACTAGGTATATCAACAGAGTAAGTAACTCAAAACAGAGTGAGACTAGGTACATCTACAGAGTAAGTAACTCAAAAGAGAGTGAAACTATGTACATCGACAGAGTAAGTAACTCAAAACAGAGTGAGACGAGGTTCATCAACAGAGTAAGTAACTCTACAAAGAGTGAGACTAGTTTCATCAACAGAGTAAGTATCTCAGCACAGTCAGTATCTCCAAACAGAGTGAGACTAGTTGCATCAACAGAGTAAGTTACTCTTAATAGAATGAGACTAGGTGCATGAGCGGAGTAAGAATATGCTAAGAGAGTGAGACTAGATGCATCAACAGGGTAAGAAACCTTAAACTGAGTAAAACTAGATGCATCAACAGAAAAAGTATCTCCAAACAGTGTGAGACTAGGTACAATAACAGAGTAAGTAACTCCAAAAAGAGTGAGACTAGTTTCATCAACAGAGTAGGTATTTTCAAATGAGTAAGACTAAGTTCATTATTTTTCCAAACGGTTTGAGGCTAGATGCATTAATATATTAATTTTTAACGGGTTGGGTTAGAAATGGTTCACCAACAACATAAGTGTCACCATTGGGAATGACTTTAGGTGCACCAAGGGGATAACTATCGCCATTGATATCTCAAAACAAAACAAAAGAAGCTTTCCGATCTTTAAGTTCTCAATTCACAGTATCATCGCTCCATGTATGTATCTTCAGAATCACATATCACATATTTATTAATAATATAGGAAATAATCACAATTTTGAATCTATACAGATATGGATCGAAACATAGATGAACATAAAAATATCTCACAGAACCCTAAAATCAGGGGATAAAAACGTGAAGTATATTTTCCATTAACAAATTTTAAAAATAAACGTAGCCCATGATTTGTTCATCTACTTCAAGGTTTGAGGGTATTTTTGAGTATTCGTTGGTCTTGCTTGACTATTCTATTAATCGATAACAATTAGGTCATATCGATAAATCAGATTTTTTTATTTAACTGCAACTTACAAAGAAAACCATACTTTGAATTATTTAGTGAGAGGACATCGTCTATATATTGGAACTTGAAGTTAAAGGAGAATACCAGATTAATTTCATTCGTCTGAAGAATATTGTTCGAATCAAGGAACAAGTCGGCAAGAAGAGGAGCACAGTTGGTTTCCACGGGAATGCCGATTGTTTGTTAAAAAATCTACTTTGGCCATTCTTTTTTTATGTAACAAAGCAGGCCAAATTCTTTTAATTTGTCTTTTAGTTTGAAATTTTAAAAACGTGTGTAAAGGGTCGAAAAGTCAAGTGTTTTAACACTATTGCCAGATGAAAGAGACTTTGATTGTATGTACCTTTACAGATCTTTTGAATTTTCAGTAAATTCAAATTGCAAAAAATCAAAAAGAAACAATGAACAATGCATAGACTCGTTAAAATGTATCGGCATTTCGTGCGTATTTTAGACAAGACGCCATCTAATTATCCATCGATATGACCTCCGAAGACGGTCGATAGTCAAATAACCCGATATAAACATAAACGTAGATAAATATTGACAGACAACCACGTTCAATCGTATAGAGACGATTTTTCTAAGTCTGTTTGATTTCATGTTCTTATTGATTAAAAATACTTGCATGTCATCGTTTTATTGGTATAAAAATGATTTTCTGTGGGCAGGATCAGTCAATGAAGTGGTTATTCCTAGTTTCTATCTTATTTCATTTTTCAATTTTGACATTCTTTTCTATTTTCATGAATGAACAACATACTGAACATTTGCGCAACCTTCGCCACCAAAGTTCAGATTAAAGGTTGCATAAATACTGATTTAAATGAGTTGAATTATTGACTTGTAAGCACATGATACATAAGAAGCGATGCTTGTTTAGCTTATTTTGACGAATATAAAGCAAACTGACAGCTCATAGCTAAATATTAATTCTATATTTCTTTTTTATAAATGTTTGAAACAGAAAAAGAAAAAAATGTATTTGAATATTTTGTCTAAATCATAGCTAATGCCATTTTAAGCTACATTAACCGTTTATCATGTTTATAAAAACATCGCTATAATAGTTTTATAAGAGAGTTCATAATTTCTTATTTCATATCATATTTGCTTTACCGACTTTTTGATTTTAACATCATGCATTTTTGTTTTATCATGTTGAAAAATGTTGACAATTTCTTATTTTATTGTAAGAACGTATTGAATTCTTTACTGATCTGGTCTTAGAGAATTCTATAATTGTATTCAATTTTCCTTAAATCCATGTAATTGTAGAACTGATATTATAAGATTGGGCGTGGCTAAATCTGTATAAATTACTATTCAATATAATGTGTCGTGGTAGGTGTTGTGCTTCAGGTTCCAAAACATAGACAAATAAATTTCATTTCTCGAATTAGGAATATTGTATATTGTTGACATTAAATTCATATATCCAAACCGGTTTTGTATTCGTATTGTTGGTTTTAATGAAAATCAGTTTGTATTTAAATTTTTCGCAATTAGTGAGAATGCGAACACCTCCGTCCCTAATTTAAAAATGCTGGTCGTTTACACGTCGTTCGATCTATAGTACGAAAGCGTAACAGTTGTCTGCAGCATTTTTTTTATTTTTATGAAGAGGGCAAAAGTTTATAATTGTAAATGAAGATGTGAATAGTTATTGTATTTCAACTTTGTATCATAATACTGTTCAGATGCATCTTTATTCATACATTGATAAGTCCAGTGTATTTATCCATAACATAAAGAATTCTTGTAACTTTATTGTCTGTAGTCTGTAGATTGCTTGTTGTAAAGCATAATTTCTTTACTTTTACCAAATGACAGTCCAAGTTTTCCGACATTCACCGTAGTCTACCAACCTTGCCGAACTTCACCATTTAATGTAAAGTTCATTTTTTTCTCGTCCGGTATATGCTTAAAATTGTTATATTTACATGTAAATTCATCAATTCTAACAGAACGTTAACTAAACAACAAACAATATTGGTCATTTGAAGAAGTGTCTCAGTATCGCCAAGTATAAACGCCTCTCAAACATTTCCTATGAATACATAAGTTCTAACAACCATTGAAGAATTATTTTATAATATTTATCGGCAGAGCATATACAAGATATAAAGAAGGTAAGTGAAAAACGACAAAGTCTGATTGATACATATCCTTTATCTTTTTTAATGTTTATGCCAATGGACGTTCAGCAACCATCAATCTATCAGTCTCTTTTATAACAGGATTGATGCTGCAATTGATGTAAATTAATTATTTTCATGGTTTGAAATAAAAGCCTACCAAACAATAAAACAAACGTTGTGATCTATGCTATATCAATACCAAATAAGTAAGGAAGACATCAACCAATGCAAGCCACTGAACTACAAGCCTTTGACTTTTGAAAGGTACTTAAATAATGCAGCGCGTTTAATATTATTTGTAAGCGCTCAATTCTTTATCTAACATAGGACAGTTCTGGTGAAAAAAACAACACTACAAAAGAACAAACCTTGAAAAGCAGTTGGAAATGACTTGAAATATAAAAGCCGCGCGAAGCATCTTATGAGGTGTATGCTAAATCGACACATAAGCTGTAAAATACCAGTCTCGACGATAAAGAATGCAATGTTGAATACAATGATAAGTCTCCAAAAGAAATGTGAGAAAAAGTAATGACAAATATCCATATTACACCATAAAACAGACCAATCCTGAAAACGTGAACTGAGGAATTTCGTAATGGAAACATATATCAAATCATAATTCTTATATGATTTGCATACTAGGAAATACGTTTATATGATTGGTCGAGAGGGCTCTTGGTAGTGGCTCTTTAAGTTATTTATTTTTTCGATAGACGACACTGACGGAACTACTTTTCGTAACCAATATATACAAGATGGCGGTGACAAAAAAACACAAACCGCCTCGATGTTAAAAATATTTATTTTCACTTCGCGCTCATCGTTAAATTAAATAATAAACACAAAACATTCATTTGATATTTTTGTAGTTTATTTTTTATCAGATACCAATTTCATGGAGTACATTTTTTTGCGTTAACCAAAAAATATATTCATGCGCAAGGCCATTTCAATGACACAAATGTACAATTTACGTGTGATAGAGGTTACGAGTGGGGAAATTAAATTCCTTATCTCCAATTTTAAAGAATGATAAGGATTAAACGCATTTATAAAGGAATTTATTGGTGTATAAACAGGACCAAGTCACTCACAAACACATCATCATCTTGTTTGTGAGTGAATTGGTCCAGTTTATACACCAATAAATTCCTTAAAAAAGGCGTTTTATCCTATAATACATATCGGAATTGCTGATGACGAAGATGAATCATGACATTGATAACTTGAAATAGGAACTGGTATAACATAACCTATAAAAGTATTTCATATAGTGTAGCATAAGGACTTATTGTCTCCATTTTCAAATAATACAAAAAAAAATCATAATGGTACATTGGATTTTTATGCTATTGATAAATAATATAATTGATCTGATATTATTACATAATGAATGGCATTAAAAGAGTTATTAGACGCAATGTGTTTAAAAATTGAAAACAAATTGCAATGTCCGATGAAATGACGTTATTTCAGTAGCGCAACGATATCTTCTTCAATGCTATTGTTAAAATTAGAGAAATCTATGACTTTTCTCAGAGTGAAAAATCCTCTGAAGAAATGTTTGACAACATCATCATATGTAAGCAAATCGTAATTTATGATGATTAGTTCTCGACTAAAGTCCCACTTGTAATAATTCCATGCATATTTCCATTCTCTCTTGTTCCATTGTTGATTTCCTTTTGTATCGTCACTAAGAAGTATTATAAAATTGCGACTTTTTGAAATGACGTCAATCGTCTCTTGCTCCCGAGGTTCTCCGATTGTACCGTCCCTGAAAAATAGAAACACATCGAAACCTTTTTTCTCAAGGCAAGGAACTAAAGAAGCTAACAACCATTTACGAATTAGTTCATCATCTTCATTGGAAGAAATATATATGTCATGTATTACCGAGGTTGGTGATAACGGATTCCTGAAGAAAGTTATAACTGTTCTTGTTAATATGAATAGTTCAAACCTAAGCTTGTATATAATCATTGCACATGTAATTACAGCAAAAAATGCCGCACATATCGAACTGTTTACCAATGAAACATTTATAACTGACGCTGAGCAGCCAAGATCTTCTTTTTCTATTTCAGTAATAGAACGAAGCAGTCCATCATTATTGCATAAAACCTGTGTGCTGTTCGCGCAGTTTTGGTATTGTAACGGTAACCATATTTTTAACCAAACATCGTCGCATGTACATTTCATAATAATGTTTCCCAATGAAATCTGACATGGCTTCAACATCTGTAAAGAACGTGGAATCTTTTTAATATCATTGTCTCTCATATTTACTAGTTTTAGTTTTCTAAACCTATTAAGCGCTATATTTGAAAGTATTGCAATGTTGTTGTTTGAAAGATCAATTTTTGTTATCCGTTTAAAATAATCTAACTTACTCCGTTCAATCATATTCAAATTTCTTAAGCTATTATTTGAAAAATCAATTTCCAAATTTCCATATAAAGGTAGAACTGAATAAAACCTTGTTAGTCTGGATCCAGAACAATCAACCACTGTTCTATTCTCTACAGCAGGTTGATAAAAACAGTGGCATTGTAGTGGACACCACTCAGCTAATGACAGGTTACATACTAATTGATCAAGCTCAGAAGCAGCTATGACTTCAAAAAATGTTTTATTTTTTAGTTGGCGTGGCGAATCACAATTCATGAAAAAGTTTAATTGATGAAACAATGCAACAAAAATTTCAAGTGATTTGGCAAACGGGTATACTTTACAGTCGCAAATCCAAGGATTTTTCCTTGCGAATATCGCCCAATAATTCAGTTTTCCTGCATGTTTAAGGTTAAGACCATTTTCATTAAACATTGAAAAGTGTTTTAAGTTATTAAACGATGCATCCAGCACTCCGTGAATAGAAAACACGGAATTGTCTTGACTTTTCCAATTCAGTATGTTCGTAAAAGAATTTATAGAATTATGTGAAAAATTTGCTTTACAAAATATGAGTTGTGTCCATAAAATGTTTGTAATATCAAGGGTAGTAAGATAGTTGTAAGACACATCGAATTTAAACAAACTTCCATTCATGTTAATTAAAAATCCAGGCTCGATATATTTTAGTCGGTTATGAGACAAGTCAATTACACGAATGAATTTCAAGTGAAGAAATGTTGTATTACTGAGGTATTCCACCAGGTTATGATGTAGTATAAACGTATCTAAGAATGTAATGCATGATACAAGATCGATGTCTTTAATTTTGTTGAATGATAAATCCATTAGAACAATTTTCGGAAAATCACATATATTACCCGGAAAACTATGTAAACCATTATAACTGGTGTTTAAGTGGTAGTATGAGTTATTAGACGTCGAACTAACTGTCAGTATGCTGATGTTACTAGTGTCCATCTCAACCGACAATTCATCTATGTCATCTATTTGCTGATATGTACTGCAAATGCAATGACGTAAATTACGCGAAAATGAACTACAATTTAAATCATTTCGTTGAAATTGTGTTTGTAGCACTTGCCACAAAATATGTGCTATAGGTCTTGATGTTTGCTCAGAATTTAAAAGTTGTAATAATGGAATTAGATGTTCTGGCAATCCATATAATGTCGGATTTTCCGTACGCACAGAAATAATAATCAATACAAAACCTAATAACACATTACTGCGAATCATCTTGCAGAATATGCTAGCTTCTTTAGCCAGAGACAAACTTTTTCTAAATACCACAAAAAACACAGCGTTACATATGATTTGTTTTATTTTGAACATGCGCCATGTCTCTAAAAACTTAAAAGAACGAAGATAGGCATTAGTAATATATAAGTAAAGATTTACGTTTAACTATTAAGTATCTTCCCAAGTGCTAAGTGTTTTTATTTCCTGAATTTAACATCTTTAATATCCAAATCTTTATAATCTGTATTTAAGTATTACTCTTTCGTAATGTCCTTCATCTTGAGCTTCATAAGCAGACACTTGATGAAAGAGGACGATCTATATTAAATAGTAAGAATGTTCCTCTCCATCGTATCTTTAAGTTAATAAATGAACATTTTTAGGTACCATTTAATATAATGATGGACAACTCAATTTTTTTTTATTACATACGAATTGCGGTGGGGCTATTTTCACAACATTTTAATATTGTGTGTAGTATAAATCATATGCTCGAGTTTATGGTGACATATTCAAAGATAAAGGTTTGTAATTATGATTAAATCATTAGCACCTATATCATGTATATACCAACATTTAACTGAGCACCTCAAATCACACACGGTTTTGAAGTCTGTTGTTTGTCATTTCGTCGTTTTAAGTTTTTATGCCATTATTGTGTCGGTCCTTCTCCGACTAATGAGATAAGTATGTTCTGTCTCTTCTCTCAAAACTGTGTCAAACAAGAAATTAGAAAGATCGAATGAAATCATTTCTTTACAAGTTCTACGGTTGTTGAAATATATTGGTTTGTCATAACTATGTCGCATTTTCTCAGCTCATTGACTTTTCAATAGACAAATCATGTCAGCTGTTAATCATTTCGACAATGCAACCTATTTTATCGTGTTTTCGGCCATGTCATTTATAACTGGATGTTACTTTTCAAATACTTAACAAATGATGCATGCATAGCAGGCAATGCTTAGCCGGTCATTCAATCATCATTTAAAAATAAAAAGATCTGGTATGATTTACAATAGGTCAACTTCCCGACAAAGACCCAGTGACATAGAAGGTTATCAACTAAAGGTAACCGTACGGCCTTCAATAAGTAACAAACCCATACCATGTAGCAAGCTATCCGACCGTGCAAGTCCCTCATGGGTAGTCAAGGTCGTTAAACCTCCCCACTCGTCGTAGCAAGCTATAAAAAAGCTACGAAATGACATTGACAAATGTAAAACAAAATGAGAAAAATGACGTCTTGATTTATATACAAAACTATAAACGAAAAACAAATATGATATACAGCAACAAAAGGCAAGCCCTGAATTACAGGCTCCAGACTTTGGACAGGCACATACAGAAACATTGATGCGCACTCACCAAATATGTGAAAAACAACCGTCAGATTTTCTGAGAACGTTCCTACAAAAAATGCTTCAGACATGCCGATTTATGATTTTTGTTGATTATTGGATAATGGGAGATAACTTATCTCGGCTAGATAACATGTTTCGTTATAGTGCTTAGATAATACGATTTTGTGAACATTAATCGAAGGTTGATGTTGTGTATATTTTTTTATTCGGCTATATTGCCTTGAATGTGATTTAAAGCTGCATACTTTTAATCCCTATTATAAATCATGAGTAATTAATTATAATGAGTCGTTTATAAAGAATGTTTTAACAAAACTTACAGCTTATGATTATTCTAGGCGTATATCGGGTTTCATGTTGAAAAATAAAACAAAATATCAGAATATTTAAAAATACCAACATATTGTCCTACAATGTTAATATAGTACACGACAATGTGATTTCTCACTGAAGATTACGACAGATAACAAATAGATTTAAGTGTTTCTCGTTTCTCGTTTTTTATATAGATTAGACCGTTGGTTTTCCCGTTTGAATGGTTTTACACTAGTATTTTTTGGGCCCTTTATAGCTTGCTGTTCGGTATGAGCCAAGGCTCCGTGTTAAAAACCGTACTTTGTCCTATAATGGTTTACTTTTATAAATTTTGACTTGGATGGAGAGTTGTCTCATTGGCACTCATACCACATCTTCATATATCTATTAACAGCTTTTTTGTATGGGATGTTTGCATCTATCGTACAACAACTTTCTGTAAATCTATAGTTGTATTTGTTAACTTTTCCAATCAACGTGAAATTATAATTAGTATTGCATAAGTTTCCATTAAAATGATGACGATAGATTTGATTTGGACCTTTATGATGATATATTAATAGCAACAGTGGAACACCTTTCATTTCGATAGTTTGCCTTTTTGTCTAATACATTGAAGAGCTGATAAAATCAAGAAGTAAAAAATCATTTTAAGGCGTTTGTTCCGTCACTTGTGTATTACAACAATGTATGATTTTAAGTTGTTTATTTCAAATAGATTTTCATATACACCGACCATCAATGTAAAAATAAGAATCAATTTATCGATCCAATTGTGTTCTAGATGTACTTATTTGGAATTATACACTGTTATATGGGTAAATAATATAGAAAATTAACAATTAATAGATGCCATACATCAGATGCGTTTTTGTTTTGGATTTACCTTCATCGGGAGCACTCAAACCGAAACAAATAAAAATGATGGAAAAATCACTCATATAAAAATATCATTAAGTGAAATAGGTTACATCACTTTTTATTCATATTAAAACGTTATTGAGTTCGATAGAGGGAAATGAAATGTCAGGATGTTAGATATTATATTTCAATCTATATATGCATTTATAAACATAAGAGTCTATAGAAAACAACCAATTAGCAAACTTAATAAGTACCGGATCGTATGAAATTTAGACTTTTACTTATAAATATAGATACTTATCAAACGTCGAGTTCATATTTATGGACAGCTTAAACAAGGAACAATGAGGTTCTTGGGCACATATTTTATGATTTTTAGTTCTTTCGCGTTTGTGGATCTACTTTCTACGACCGACATATTCAAGACTTTATTCAACCGAACAGATCTACACTGCTCACTTTATTGTAGGAGATATGAGTATCATCTTGTCAGTTGTTGTATGTGTAATGTGCACAAAACGCGAGAAAAACTACATTCATTGAAAGTTTCGTACAATGCAGTATTGGAATATCCTGAAATAGAAAAACCAAATGTTTTGAATGTTCATTATCGGGTAAAACACATATCTAGATACATAACGAGACTCCCAGTCAACCTATGCAATTTTACTGGAATCGTTCAAATGGATTTTTCTAACAATGAGATAAAAAGAATGGACAATATTTTTTGCATCAAAAGCTTAGACACTCTTAAAATGCGTAAAAACAAAATAGAGTATTTGAGAAACGATACCTTTATCGGAATGAAAGTTTTACGCAATATTGACCTTTCATACAACCGTTTGAGGTACATAGAACCAGGATTGTTATTAAACATGGCTGCAAGTCTTCTTAATTTTGATGTGTCTAATAATCTATTGACTACAGTAGATATCACTAATATTGTGTGGGAAAATCAACCAGCGTTCTGCGAAACTGATTTTTCCTTCAATAAGATATCAAGTGTAAGCAATCAACTAGATTGGAAATGTAAAACTAATACACACTTTGGATTTGGAGGAATGGTTAAATTATCTAACAATAATTTGTCACATTTTGTGAAATTTTCTAAAATAGGATTTAGAAATTTCTTTTTCTTAGGAAAACTTCTATCCTCTGGATTTGATTTACGAGAAAACAATTGGATATGTGACTGCCAGATGTATTTCTTTGCACTAAAATCGTCCATTATTTTAGATAAGATGCATAGAACCTATTTCGAAGTCACTTGTCATTCTCCTCCAGAATTGAAAAACGTCCTTCTAATTGACATTATTAAACACCAATCTCTCGATTGTTTAATCTGTAATCTAACAATTGCTGACAGATGTCCTCCAAAATATCGTTGTTTTTACCAGCCTAGTAAATCAAGAACTGTAGTGGATTGTTCCGGAACGAGAAGGAGTAGATTACCATCTGCGTTGCCATTGCGAACTGATCTTGAGGTAGATTTTTCAAGTAATAGATTATAAAGTATGCTTAACAATAATCATGAAATAAAAACTACCAGTAATGGAAGCATACTATATTATTATAGCAAATACATAAGAACACTGGACTTATCAAACAATAACATCGAAATAATCCCGGACGATCTTATTTATAAATTACGAAATGTAAGTTTGATTAATTTATCAAAAAACAAAATAACGAACACTCCACGTACTTTGCAAATTTTAAACCCTTGTCAGATATACTTAGGAGAAGTTGTGATTAACTGTAAATGCAAAGACGTTTGGCTTCAAAATTGGCTGCCATCATTTCATAGCAAATGTTTCAATAATACGATAGTATATTGCAAGTACAAAAATGAAAAAGTTCACATATTGAATATGACTACACATGAACTTGGTTGCAGACTTTACAATGACTTTATCATATGTTTGAACATTTCACTTGCCGTGGCAGTGTTAATAGTAACTGGATCGTCGCTTTTTATATATACCCTCCGTTTTGAACTGTTCATAATGACACGAAAATTTCTGAAGTACTTCAAAGGGAAAATAGTTCCACCAGACGCATATGCATATGATATCTACATATCTTGCAATGAAAATGACGTTTATTTGCGACATTGGTTGACGTCATCATTTGTCCCTTTTCTTGAAGAAGAAAAACTCCGTGTGTTTTTACCTTACCGAGATTGTCAAATAGGGCGACTACGTGAGGAGGAAACAATTGATATAATGTCCACGAGTCTTAATTTCGTAATTTTCCTCTGTGAGAATAATGAAATTTCAACAGAAATGTGGATAAGGAAAGAATAGAAATATGCATGGTACAACTATAGGTATGATATTAGTCGGGAAATCATCGTTATAAACTATGACATGCTGGAGTATAAAGATGTGGCACACAAATATTTGAGAGCATTTTTAAAAATGCATAACTTTATAAATTTTTCAAAAAAGGATAAACTCATAAAGGCAGAAGTGTACTCAAGTCTCCAACATGATGATGGTGTCGTATTCGGAAAGAAATTCTGCAATGGACAACATGCAACAAGGCGT